GGCCCAGAGGTAAGCGGATTCGATTATTTGGGAATGTGGATCAACTGAATTAGTGTGCCTGATAGACATTCTGGTGGATTCTAGATTTGTTGTTAAGGAGACTGTGCCTGGGTAGTCAGCTTAATGCATCAGCATTTGTGAATTCCATACTTACAGTAGGCTTGGCGGGTAAACCAAACCAAGTAAGATTTAATTGTCGGCTCCAAATGAGCCTCACAACTCAGTTGGTAGAGCGTTCGCTGTACTCCAGCCTCCTCTTTTTAACATAGGTTTTAATACTACCGAAGCCGCAAATTTTTACAATTTGGTGAATTAAATTATACAAGTCTGCCAACCCCCTCCTTATATTTAGGAAGACATTAAGAGGAGTTAGGGAGGAAATGGAGGATTGATTTCTTCCTACCTGCAATGGACGACAGTAGGGCCGAAAGCTGCAGAGAGTGGTTTCTGCTGCCGTATATTTTTGTAGGTTTGATACAACTGATAGAACTCTCCAACGTCCGGTACAGCATAATCACCCCAGCCGAGAAAGTGGAGTTGTGTGAATGTCCAAGGCTAAACAAAATATGTAAAGGCAATCTCAATAAGCAGCTTTAAAGAGAAAAATGCTAAGCGACGAGGAGGCGTGCAAAAAGAGAAGAGCTGACCGCTAGAACAAGGCTTTTTAAGCCTGAAGTTTCGAATTCGCACTCAAAACCATCGCCAGAGGCAGTCATAGATAAGGGTTACAGAGGATAGTAGAATGCAAGGTTGGTTAGTTTTTGTCTTTCTTATTCGTTTTACTCTGTTTTAACTTCGAGGACAGGTGGGCGAGGGAATAGAGGTGCAATGGATGTAAGGCTTGTCTACTACCACTTAAAACAAATTCACGCGTAACTCCCGGTCCCTGCCGTGCTGTGGAGCACATGGGGAAAAGCCGAAACGGACGACCGAAATGTCGGTTGTTGTTCAAGTTCAGCACTTGCGTCGCATTTGTCGTTTTCCTGAACACTTTGGGTCTTGGCCAGCACAACATTTGAGGCAAATATAAAAATCTATCGTAAAGTAAATGTCCAGGAAGGCAGTGTTTAGACGTTTCTTTTCCTTGTGGCTTAGTCGATCTTATCTGTGACTGCCTGTCAGGATAGGTTCGAGCGAAAATCAAGCGAATCAGGCTAATCGCTTCTTCTCCCTATGCGGGGGTCCAGA